TTTTAAAACTTGGTAGATTGGCCCAACGTTGGGTATAGTTTTTTTGCATTCCTTTTTTTAATTTTAATTTTACCACTTCAAAATTACCACAGTGAACGCTGTAGACTATGGCAGTTCGGCGATTGTTCTTGTTTGACAAACTTTTGTCGCGTTAGGCATACTAACTCTTTAATACAATAAAGAAATGAGACAATAAGAAACTTACTCTTTTGCGCCAGAATCGAGTTCATACCATCTTTGCTACTTGCGAAGATTATAACCATGTTTAGGCTATCCACCATCTTGTTTACTGTTTTCTCTGTCCGAAGATTTGTTTTCCTTTAAGGTCTGGGAGGGATATCCAGGGAGATTTGTGACCTCTTTCGCAGCCACCTCTTGTAAAAGTTCCCGATCTTGAGGGGACAACTCAGGAAAAGAACAAGCTGGGCCTTGTATGGAATAATGCCTTTTAATCTGATGGAGATGCACCACAAAGGGTCCAGCACTTGGTGGGGAGCAACTGACCATGGTGGCGGTAGGCTCCTGAATATCTGTTACCCTGTATATGCCAGTCCAGGGTAGATGGAATTTCTACAAATTACCTGCCTTAGTTTGTTGCCTTAAAAGCAAGACTCGATCACCAACCCTAACATTTGACCTGTTCGCATACTCGTAATTTTCCTTCATTCGCTCTTGTGCTTTAAGATTATAATCGTAAGCCAAGCGCCAAGTATTTTTAAGAGCAAAAATCAACTGAGCCTTATAAATGTCCACATCTTGTTCTGAGTAATTGACCCTTGTGCCTACGTGAAGGATATCTTCGATGGAAAACCGCGGATCACGACCAAACATAAGAAAATAAGGGCTCTCTCCTGTCATCTCGTTTACCAAGGTATTGTAGTGTAAATGGGAATTGCATTCCCATTTCTTTTAAAACTGTTATCCCACGATTATCAAAAAATATCCATTAGCTATTATAAGCTTTTAACCCCCCACCCTCCCCAGGGTTGTAAAATTCAAATCCTGGGTCAGGGGCATCATAAATGTGTTCCCTTTATCCCGGCCGCCCGGACATCTTTGACCTCAGCCCTAAATCCCCATCTTCCCTCCAATAACTTTACTGCCCTTTGTCCCCACCACATCGGTGACCCAACTTCCCCATTTCCTCCCTCCTTTTTCACAATAACAAATTAGTGCTCCCATCGACTCCTCCGGCAGCGGGGCCAACCCCGCTGCCCTACCTTCGCCGTCCTCTCGTCCGGCAGCGGGGCCAACCCGCTGCCCTACCTTCACTTCTTTTTTTATATTTCCTCCCCTCTTTTTTGCCTTATGTTCCCGGGGTCCCCTCTCTCATACCATCCTCCCCCCCCCCCTTCTTCCAGCCTTTCTTGCCTCGACCTGAGTGTGGGGATTTTGATTTTTGTGAATTGAGGAGTAGGGTGGGGGTGTATGGGGCGCACATAGATTTTTAGGATTGTTGTGTGGGATTGTTATGCTTCGTTATTGTTCTTTGTATGGTTTAGTAACCCAAATTTGAGGTTACAATAAAGAGTTATATTGTTATACTGCGCGCACTCGATAGCAGCCTCTGCTGCACGGAAGATCTTGGTATTTGAAGAAGAAAAGGAAGAAGGACTAAATAATTCCCGCCCGGGCTGAAGGTATTAGCTATTAAACCCTCTGGCGGCCTCTGAAAGGCCCAGCGTATTGTTACTGTTATTCTGGTTATAACCTATAGTACCGCATCTGCGGGAGCAATTTTATTAAATATTTATTGTAGCAAAAACTCATAAAAGGCAAGAATTCGTCAAAGTCGCTCTTTTGCTCTGAAACATATTTTGCAAGCATATTCTGATAGGTCTTAAAGGCCCGTTCTACAGCTCCATTCCCGGCAGAGTAATATGGGATTGAGTATCTTTTGTTGATATAAAGTAACAGATGTAAAAAAAAGGACGAAAACGCAGAAAATTGTAAACACGCAGGAGTGCAAATTGCATTCTGACTCATGGGATAAAAAGGGGAAAAGAAAGAAAAAAAAAAATATTATATAATTTTATAATAAGAACAGCATGCTTTACAAAATGTAGGTGGAACAGCCAAACAGCTGCTCCGTTGTTTATAGTGTAGCGCACAATGGTTACACTTACAAAAAGAAAATGTAGTTATGGTAATGTTCCAAGAAGGCTTTGAGAAATAAGTATAAAAAGCACATGCATAGGCGAGGACAAAAAGACGAAAGGATGAGCAACATTCGGGAAAACAACAGGGTTGAATAGGCAAAGGAAAAGAGGGACTCAGCAAAAAATTTGGTTAATAAAGGAATTCACGTTGTTTACAGATATTACGTACCATACTAGACTGTGGCCGCCAATTCTTGATAACTGATTAAGGATATGTAGTAAAAATTGCGCAGCTTCCATTCGTTATTACATCCCTCCATAAATCCAAGCGAGAGGAAGCTTACAAACTACCCACAGAATACACCGGCTCTGTAACTACCAATCAGCTTGCAACACAATTACAGGCCCTTGAATTAGGTCTTTTGCAAGAAATAGACTTCGCTTTTAGGCATCACTTAAATGCTCGGTGTACAACAATGAAGCTGATTACGCGACAGGTGGTTCTGCATTAATTTACAATCCTACACTAGCTGCGCGACAATTTCTAAATTGTACAGATATCCATGCTCGTGTAGCAACTTCTGTCTTAGAAATTTGGCCTTGTCTACCTCTACTGATTTCTGATATAGCATTTCAACCAATCAGTGATACAACCGTCTGTTACAAGCACCGTTCAGTACAATTCCAGGCATTTGGACAAAGGTATTCTTGATTTATTGACCCTACCACTCTCGTAATTTCTGAGCTGCCACAACCTATGCCATTTCCCCTTGTCAACAATCTCCCAATCGAACTTAAAAACCAGCTGTATGCAATTAATGCCCAACTCAGAGATTATGCTGAATCCCAGTGAAGTCGACAATTTCCTTAAATCACTTTCAAATTCCTGAACACGATCCAAAATAAGGACTTTTGGGCACCGTGTCTCTTTCGCTATCCATTCCTCAGCAAAAATGCAGGCTGTGATTTTGGCTGATTTGTCTGTTACCGTATACGCACCACACCATTAAGAAAAAGCGTCTATTATTGTGATTGCTTAGCGGTTACCCTACTAGTTCTGCCCAATACTAAAGCATCGATCTCGCAGATTTTAAAAATTTCCGACGAAATGACGGATTTTAAAGGTGGGACCCTCTTCAGTTGCTGGTTATGAACAATGCAGGTGGGGCACGCCCGGTGCCATCCACCAGTACCCCTGCACATACTTGACCAGGTATACCTACTCGGTAACTGCTAATAAATCTTGTCAGCATTTAGATATCCCGCAGTTATACCACTATGCGCTTCCTGAATCATGTGCTTGAGACACGACAGCCTGAACTTTGTCGTCAGTACTCGTCATCCAAAGTTTATCATTTTCTGTCCAATACGGACTCACCTGTGCACCCCGTTTTAGTTTACGGATTGTATCACCGTATTCGTTCTCGTTCAGTAACTGCTCCACCTGTAGTGTCACTACCTCTCCTCTCATTACCACCATAGTTTCCCGTCTCCAACGTGTTACCTAAGCCGCCCATACTCAAATCCTCAGGGATACGGCTTAATGCGTCCACTGGATTATTATTCGCTCCTTTTTATGCGTTTCTGTAGTGCATTTTTGGCGCGAAGATCGCTAACTCAGGAACGAGAGAAGCTAGAAAGCTGCAACCTTGGGAAAATGTTCCCCACCCGTATACGACAAAAAGATTTCAAATTCAGCTGCCGAGGACTGCCCGGGGCTCACGCACGGGCACGTGGAAATTTTTGGCGCGAAAATCACTAACTCGGGAACGGGAAAAGCTGGAAAGCTGAAACTTTAAGGGAATGTTCCTACTCATAACCAAAACCAGGTGTTTGGAAGCATCCGGGGCTCACGTACGGGCACGTGAAAATTTTGACGCGAAAATCAGTAACCCGGAGACGAAAAAAGTTGGAAAGCTGAAATTTTACGGGAATGTTCCCTACTCATGTAGAAACAAAATCAGTTGTTTAGTGGCGCCCGAGACCCAAGTACGTCACACGTGAGAGTTTTGGTGTGGAAATTACTAACCCGGAAAAGAGAAAAGCTAGAAGGCTGAAACTTTATGGGAATGGTCCCTACTCATATACGAGCAAAATCACGTGTTTAGAATCGGTCCATATACGAGGGGGTGGAAATTTTGGCGCTAAAATTACTAACCCAGGAACAGGAAAAGCTAGAAAGCTAAAACTTTAGGAGAGCGTTTCTTACGTACAAGCGAAATCAGGTCTTTAGAAGCGCCCAAGCCCAGGTATGCGCATGTGAAAATTTTGGCGCGAAAACTACTAAACCAGGAACGGGAAAAGCTAGGAAGTTAAAACTTTAAGGGAATGTTCCCTGCTCATCTGCGAGCAAAATCAGGTGTTTAGAAGCGCCCGAGCCCACGTACGAGCGCGTGGAAATTTTGGCGCG